GCTAGTTTCTCTTAGTTCATTGAGAAGAAAGTTTTGTGCTAATACTTTTTTGGACACTATGTCTTGTACCCTAAACAACTACTATGAATATAACAATAGGCAATGTATTAATTATTGTTACTCTTCTGCTAGCCTGTTTTGAAACTCTGTTTTATTGTTATTTTTACTTTTTTCCTTTAAAGTTTAAAAAAAATACAGCTGCCTACATTGTTTCACTACATTTTGGAGGAAAACCCTATGAGATTACTAACAAAGTATTTTTTCAATACCTTTTACAAAGGAATAAAAACCAACGAGGCTGCAAGGGGTCTACACAATTGTTCTAGAACACGCTACCAACCAGTGGCAGAACAAGCTCCTGACACCAGCCAGGCTCCACTCCAAAGCCGTTGCACCTGCTGCAAGCAGCACTCAGGGCCTTCCAGGGCAGCTCTACAATGAGATGGCACAGTATTTTTTTTTTTTTTTTTTTGAGTCGAGGTCTTGCTAGGCAGTTTAGGCTGACCCTGCACTCACTGTGATCCTCCTGCCTCTGCCCAAGTGCTAGGATTATAGATGTGTAACAACACACCAGGCAACACAGTCTTATTTGGGAAAAAAACAAAAATCTCCTTTTTTTTCCTCTACTTAGAAATAGGAATTTTTTTTTCATACCCAACCAAATTCCAGCTATAAATTTAACCATTCCTCTTAAACTAGTTTGGATGGAAACTAAAAATTTCCGGAGGAATTTTAAACAGTAATCACCGGGGCAGGGGAAATGGCTCAGTAGAATAAGTACTTCCCTGGCAAGTGCAAGGGCCTGAGCTCAATCCCCGGTTCCGCAAAAAATAAATAAATAAATAAATAAATAAACAATAATCACCTCTGCAAACCTCTGCCACTCCCCTCCTCCTGCCTCCCAGACACACACCCTATCAAATCCCTTCTAGCATTAGGAGAGAAGAAAGAAAAATCTTTGTCCAAAATATCTTTGGTTCTCATTGCCATGAACCCTGCCGGGGTCTCCAGGTGAAAATCCCCGGAAACAGCAGCTGCAGCCTCCTTCTGGAGCCAGCAGTGACTTCAGTGCAGAGCCCCAGAGCGGCAGAAGCCTGCAGTTGAGATGGAAGGGAAATATAGACCCTGAGAAATAAATTGCCTTCACGAAAATTATTTATTTTTTCCTTCTTTGTAAGGGAATGGGATTGGCTGTGTTTATAAAACCTGGTGACTTTTGAAAGCTATTGTTTCTCTAACAGCTTCTGACACCAGCCCCAGAGGTGCTGGATTGCTTTCTGGATGTAAAAATTCTCAAGGAGAACTCAAGGTGATGCTAATAACAGCTGTCAGCTGGCAGCGAGGTAATTATAAAGCCATGATTAAAACAAAACAAAACCTTCCAGTGTTACAGGCTTTCACTGAAACACCAGGTGATGGACCCTGGAAACCAAACCACCCCTGAGAAAGTGCCAGGGACGGTGACCAAACAGCCCCCATGGCGTCCCTGACTCAGAAACATCAATTCTGAGAGTGCTGCGTGTGGCTGCTGCTGCTGCCCTGCCTGGAGCCCACCTAGAAGCAGTCGCCACCGAGGGGCTGCCTGGTCCTTTACAGATGGCTAGCCCTTTCCCCCACAAGTAGCTGTCTCCTCCCTCCTCCCCTAAGCAATTCTAGTTTAGGGCAGCCAACTCCCAGCTCTGGGGTAGCCTGTGAGTGTGAGGGGAGCACTGAGCCTGGAGAGATCTTCAACCCCGGGGGGCAGTGATGAGAATGGCTGAGATTCTCATCCAGCAAGTCTGGAACACAACCCAGGGTCCCACCTCACTGAGCATCATGGGTGACACAAGCAACCCACCTACCATTCAAAGTGCCTGCACCTTCTCCATGCCAACCCTACATAAAGCACACCTGAAGCTGTACCTTCCCAAGGAGTCTCAGTTACTTCTCTCTCATTGCTGGGACAAATACCTGACACCTGAATGGAAGGAAGGAAAGGTTTATTTAGCTCACAGTTACTGGAGGTGTCAGTCCATACTCAGCTAGCTCCAAGATGCCTGGCATATGGCAGAGAGCAACTTTTCATGGTGGTAGCAAAGAGCAAGAGCACAAAAGAGTAGTAGCAGCAGCTCAAGCAGCTAACTTCTCTTTCCTCCTTACATTGAAATGCAAACTACCTGACCCAGGGCAGGTGCAGCATCCCCACCTACAATAATCACAAACTCCAGAAGCCGCCCCAAGACTGAATGAGGCTTTGGGGGAACACCTATACACAAACCATAACACTAAGTCATTATAAAGCTTCAGCCCTTGCCAGCCTGCCATTGAGTCTCTGCCAGCACAGTAGTAAGCTACAGCAAGTTCTGGAGAGTCTGATTTTCCCATCTAGTTGGCCTTTGTGTGTTTGCACAAATCCTATCCCCACCAGAGACTATGTTTGGATACCCAGGTGTCCATAGCACACGCTGATGCTCAGAGTTGACCAAGCCAATCCTCTGTGCCCTGAAGTTTTTAGGGCAAACTCTAGGATCAGACCAACTCCAGGAATCCATGCGATTGCAACTGATCCTTTCAAAAGGCTCCAACTGACCCAAGGAAGGCAACTTCTTGGATAACAGAACTTTCTAGAAGAGAAGATTAGGGGCATTAGAGTCAAAGGGACCTGAGCAGGTACCCCCCAAGCTCCAGCCACCCTCTGGCTGTCTTGGGCTTGATTCCCAAAGTGAGATTTCTGCCAGACCTGCAGCATCTGCATCACTGGGAGCTTGTTGGAAATGCAGGATCTCCAGTCCCACCCATTCCTGCCAAACCCAGGTCCACAGCTTAACAGACTCCTAAGGGGCTCTAGGCACTGGCTCAGGCAGCCACCTAAGCATCTCAGTTTCCTCATAAAGAAGTATGAGATACAGTATCTTCCTTAAAGGATGGCAAGAATGACAGATCCAGGACACGGGATACATTCAGTTCAGAGCACAGCTCTTCCTTCCATCTCCCACATCTGGTCTCCATCTTCCTCCCTCGACCAAGAATAGAAGACCTGCAGTTGCCCACCTCAGCTCCCCTCTTCTTTACCAGGGTCAGAACTGAGTAGAATAAAAGGACAAAGCTTTACGCCAAAAGCATTGCTCTCTGCTCTCCAAACTGTCCCTCCTCAACTGCAAGAGTACAGGAGAAATGGAGGGAGCAAATAGGAAAGGGGAAGAAGGGTGCCCAGCTTCCTTCCCTGGGAGAAGGAGGAGGAGGGGAAATGCCAAGGGAAACCGAGGAGACTGGAGAGGACAAGGGAAAGAAGAGGCAAAGTATGGGGAAAAGGGAGGAGGAAGGAAGAGCCAGAGCCCCAGTCCTTCCCACCAGCAGTGCTGGGTCGGAGTGTAGCTGGCAGAGCCCTTGGCTGCCCACAATAGATTAAAACCAGAAATAATGAAGAAAACAGAGTTGTGCAAAGATCTATTCTTTGCTTTCCTAGTAGTGTTCGGGTGTTTGCCCTCCTCCACCCGTGCGGGCAGGTCCAGATCTGTGGGAAGCTTCGTGTCTGAAGATGAGGATGGAAGACAGGAAGACAGGACAGTGCAGCTGAAATTAATTTTTGCCTTCAAACTCCTTGCCAGGCACTATGTTTCTGGGCTCTTTCAGTTCTGAGAAGGCGTGCAATATTCTGATCCATTCTAAGATCTTGACAAGTAGAAAATACAGGTCTCCCAGCCTAACCCCAAAGCTCAAAAGCAAACACAATTAATTGAACTGTATAAAATTTAGAACATTTAAAGCCATCCCTGCAGCATCTCTTGATGGCTCCCTCGATAGCAGATCTTTAGTCTGGCTCAGCCAGAAATGACAAAAAGCAAAGCAGTCACAGAGAAGCCCCTGTTGGGGTCACACTCAGGTTGGCAGCCAGAACCACCAAGTCACAGGCAAGCAGACTGATAAAATTCAGGAAGTATTCCTCCTCAGTACAGGGGGCAGGGAGGACCAGGCCTAGCTCCACCCAGCCACAAAGCTCCCAGACTCCCCAGGAGAGGCTCAGAACATGGTCTGGCATCTATGTCCTACTTGGGGTCAGGTGATCATGGGCTGGGACTCTACTGGTGGGGCCTGCTGGAAAATCCGCTGGTATGAGGTCTGTCCTCAGGTCCTCAGCCATCTGGATCTGTCATCAGTGTTGCTTCTCCCCTCCCCTTACCAGTCTTCTGTGCCCATGCTTGAGGCAATGACCTGAGCTCTAATTCTGGCCACACCACTGGACACCTACCACCGGCCCAGTTAAGCCCAAATGAGTCCAGAACCTGAGCCCAAGATGGTCTCCTCCCCTAGCAGGACCACGTTTCCCAGCTTCTTCACTACCCCTCGAGTCATAGTTGGGCCAATTGCTGTGGATTTCTCAGTTTCTGATGACATCAAAATGATGAGTGGCCTTCACGCTCTACCAAGAGTTTCACTTACATGTTTCAGATGTGAAGCATCCTCCAGTCCTCATTAGAGCAAACCATGGCTTTAGTGAGTCACATATCAGATTCCCCTGCCTCTTGTCAAGCTGGGAAGAAGACCCTGCCGGAAGGTGCCACTGGGCCAGCAGAGACAATGCCGAAGACTTTGCAGGCCCACAGTGCCCCATGCCCAGAAACGCCTCTTATCCTCTCCTGTCATCAGACTGGTAGCAAAGGGACTGAATTTGAGTGACCACCCAGGGTTCTGGGCCTGGGGGGGTCTCATCCCACGCTGCTCACAGATAGGAACTCTACCCAAGTGGACCACAGCACATGGGCTGTGCTGCCCTTTCATGCCCTGGATCTCTCTCACTCTCATCTGAAATGAGTTTTATTGTTGTCATGTTTTATTTTGTTTGCTTCCCATTCCTACCTGCTAGAAAATTCTCTGAGGTTACAAAAATGCAAGATAAGAAAAGCTTAGAAAAATAAGTAATTATTTTATTTCTACTTCAAAATAGACTGTATACATCCAGAACTCTAAGGAAGAAATATTATTCCATTGTCAAAATAAAATAAGGTAAAAATAATAATTGCCTATTTCCGGCCCCTTCTTGAATCCAGCTGAAGGGAACATGCGCTGGCAGCCGTCTGGCTGTCAGGTGCCATCCCTCCATCACTGACCTTGTGGCTGCCCCCTGGGGACTCTGTGTTTAAGAGTTCCTGGAGCATTTTGAGCACTTGCTTTGGCTGGCCAGTGGCGAAGTCCTGCAGCCGGGTACCCATTTGCCGCTGGAGGGCCCTGGACAGCTGGCTCACCGCCGTGCGGACGTTCCCACTGCGTCCTGGCAGGACACCGCTCCCAATCATGTTGTTTAGGAAGTACCAGAGGACAGGGAGGACGTGGCGCTCCACAGCCTGAGGTTTGCGGGGGTAAACAGAGGCCACCAGCACTGTCAGGAAGAAAAGACAGAGGATCGCTGGAGCCAGGCACTCTCTCCCCTCCCTCCACCCTCTCTTGAGGCACCGACACTGACCACCAAAACCCAGTAGCCCAGCACAGGACCCAAGGGTTATAACACATTTAGCAGCCCATTAAACCTTCAGCTTTTTAACATCAAAAGAAAAACTATGCACACATCCAGCCTGGTTTATATGCATGTTTGTACCCAAAAAATTATATTGTTTTGTGGAAAAGGGAGCCTTTCAAGGACAAAGCCTATGAGGACCATGACAGTCATGATGGACCCCTACAATCCGGAGGAGAGAAAAGAGGCAGACACCCAAATTATAATCGTGCCTTTGCTGTCTATGAGCCATAGGTAGGCGGGGGTCAAACAATAGGCAATACTAATATTGGATACTATTAATATGATATTGGCCACCTAGGAAAGTCCAGGCAAATGCAGAGAAAAGCTGTACAAGAAGAGTAGTAAGGGCTCTCAGGTGAAGCCATCTGCACCTCAGATAGCTGGCAGGGGACAAGACCAAAAATGGCCTCTCCAGCATCCGGATGCCAACCTTCACAATTAGACCGGCAGCATGGGCCACAAACGTGTCTGTAAACCCCCCAGCTCGGCACAGGCTCTCATTCTAGTGATAGACCCCTATACCTGACTGTCCAAAACCCCAAACTCCATAAGCTCAAGAATGCATAGCAGCCAACCAGAGTAAGCGGCTGTCCCAGGTCACCAAGTGGACTGTGGCCAGGTTACCCTACGTGCATTAGTGCTAATGGTGCCTGTTATATAAGAAGACCGCTCTTTCTCATGTCTTACCAAAGGGCAAGTGCTGGCGAAGGCAAGCCACTGTGAGAACGGTGTTGGTTTACGGGGCCAAGAAATTGGAAGGTGACACAGACTGGGCCACACTCTGGAAACTGCTGGAGTCCAGGCTCAGAGATTGAAGGTGTGGCATCATTTCATACTCATGGTACCTCTGAATAGAAGGACACACCCATTTTACAGGGAAGGAAAGCAAGGCTCACCAAGAAGCTTTCCCAGAGTAGCGCTGAGGACAGAAGCCAAGTCTGCCTTCACTCCAAAGCCTCCACCCTCAGCTGCACCCCAGCCTCTAGGGTTTCCACATCGCAGAGTCCAGTCTGGAGCTTTGCTTTATTTTATTGAAACACCCAGTCATTCTTCTCTCATCAGCTGAAAACCATCCAAGCCCTAAAAGCCCAGGGGGTTCCTTTGCTTTCAGAGCCAGTCTGGGACCATGAGAAACCAGACAAGATGCCCTGGGACCCTTCTGTTCAGCCTGACACTCTCTTGGTGGCATTTTCCACAATGAGAATGTTGTGGTAGGCCATAACCAGGGTTCCTTTACCTCATTTCTATGGAGCTCCCATGGGGACCCCCAGGGACCACAGAACTCTCAGAAGCCAAGGTGATCAGAGGGAAGGGCAGTCTGTACACTCTGAGTCAACTCAGCCACAGCAACGTCAAATAGCAGGGAAGGCTCCCATGGCAGAAGGGCTTGGAACAGCTTTATAAACAGAAAGAGGCACACTGGCTAGAAAGGGCTGAGGGTTGTGTTCTCTGTGATTGATACAGGCTATGCAGGAAGAACACAGTAACCAGAAAAGCAGACAAGTGTCCCCAGCCCCAAGATGGGGAGCAGGGAGTGGCTTAAGAAAAGGAGCACCAAGCAGGGACAGAAGGGAACCAAAGAACCCTGATCAACTATCTACACCAAACTACTGTAATTCAACATTTGCCTAAGTCTCTAGGGAGGCTCATCTGCAGAGAGAAGCCTTGACACATGTGCACCCCATGTTCAGAGCAGTGGCGCTCACAAGAGTCAAAAGGCAGAAGCAACCCAAGGGTCCATCTTTGGATGCATGAATAAAAATGAGGCCCACACATATGATGGAACATCATTCGGCTTTAAAAACAAGGAAATGCTAACACAAGCTGCAGTATGAACAAAGCTCAAGGACATCAAGGGAAATAAATCAGTCATGAGAGGACAAGTACTACAGGCATTCACCTCTCTGGGGTAGCTAGCATAGTCAGTCCCATAGAGACAGAGGGGAAAATGGGGGCAGCAGGTACTGAGGGGGCAAGGGTGGAGAGTTATTGTTTAATGGTGACAAAATCTCAGCTTTACAAGATGAAAAGCAGTGGCCAGTGGTGACAGCTGTACAATGTTGTGAATGTGCTCAATACCACTGGACTGCATGCTTCACAATGGTTCCAGTGGTAAATCTTAAGTTATATGCATTTTACCACAATAAAAATGGAGGCAGGAAGAGAAGAGCAAGTCCCCAACACTGAAGAGGCTCACTTGCCCCTAACAGAGCTTCCTTCCAGTCTTGTCCTGCTGTCTCCCCCACCCACTCAGCAGTGAGCTGCTCTATTCCAGCCCCCAGACAACTCCGTCCTTGGGAGAGGAGCAGCCCCACCCAGCTCAGTTCCATAGCCCACACCTCCCCCTCTGCTCACATCTTCCTGGCTGATAGGACTCAGCTGCCTCAGACCCACATTCCCCAGGTTCAGGCATTGGCTGGTTGGGTCCATCTCTCAAGTCAGCAAAAGCACAGAGGCCCTTCTGGGAGCCATTGTGAGGGCGTGAATCCCATTAAAGTAAAGCTAAAAGGCAGCTGGAGTAATTAGCAAAAGATTTACTTCTATTAAGTTGTGCTATTATCAGTCCACACTTAGTGTCAAAGCAAATTTTCTTCTCTGTTCCTAGTTGACATAGAGGTAGCAGAACTCTAGAGAAACTCTTGCTTTTAAGGTCTCTTTGAAATAGGGAAAAAAAATTGAAAAGAAATAGGAAAAAATTATAGTAAGTGAAAAATCTAAAATGAGCCTATCCCCATCGTGGGCCTTTAAATCACCTTCACAAGGACAAGTAAGGGCTTCCCTCAGAGAACACAGATTTGGAGCACCAGAAAAGCATTCCTTGCGGGGCTCCTGAGTGAGCTCAGTACGATGGCCCCATTCTCACTCCAGGACTCCCTTAGTATCATAGCAGCCAGCTTCCTGGGACAAATCCTAGGTGACTCACCACGGATCTTGGGCACTTCACTTTTCTGAGCCGTATTTTCTTTGTCTCTCACAAAAAAAAAAAAATCATAGAAGTGACGTGCTTCTTCCAGGACTTTTTTAAGGTTTAAGTGACCGAAGGCATGAAGCCAGCTGAGAAGCCCCTAGAGTTGAAGCAGGGTCCTGGCATGATCCATATGCTTTTAGGGGGATCTTTGGAGTCCTAGGAAGAGACTGAGTCCTCTTGCCTACTCTAGAGATGGAGTCCTCCCAAGACAGGGAGGAGAATTTGCAAAGCAAGAAAGATGATAAAATTCAGCTCCAAGTCAACATGAGTAGATGACAAATGGGCCCACGGTCCCCAAAGCTTGGGCCTTTTCCATGCTGCCACCGACCCTAGGATGAAACCACTAGAGATTTCTGCACACTCAAGGAGAAATCGGATTAATAAGAACCAACTTCCTCTTCAGGTCAGCTGTAGAGAGACCCAGGCAGAGGCCAGCACTCAGCCAACAGCTACATAAAGTTGAAACCCAGCCTATGCCCTGTTTACCAGGCCATAGGAGGGGCAGCTTCTGATCTTCACAACAGTGCTGTCTGCCAGCCAAGCTGTGCACTCAGTAGGCAGCATGTATCTGGATACTTTCCCTGAGTCACACAGAGGCATGCAAGGGGCTAGGACCCTTTGTACAGGGTCTCACTATACAGCTTGGATTCGTAGTGATCCTCCTGTTTTCAGCCTCTCCAGTGCTGGGATTACAGGCATATGTCACCATGCCTAGACTCAGTCTCAGGCTCAACCCACCCAGAGGAACCCAGAATTGAGCCCTGGTTCCTATGCTTGCCTAAGCAGGCCCTTAGTCTGCTGAGCCACCTTGGCGGCCCTCACATTGTGGTTTCTTAGGAACTCTTTGCTTGTATACATTCCTACCTCCTTTGGCCAAAAAGAAAGACTGTTGGTCTAGGAAGACTGTCACAAAGAGCAAATGTTCAAAACTTTTCAACAATCTGCGGGGACTGTTTCAGGTCTAGAAAAGCACATGGCAGGAGAGAAGGCCAGAGCTGGGAGGGACGGGGAGCTCACCTGGCAGGCGTCCTGTGATGTCCAGCACCGCGCGGCCGCTCAGGAAGCGCACCCGCCCTGCAAACGCCTGGAGGAGGCTGAGGTGATCTGCAAGAGATGGGGATGTCAGGGGCCATGATGCTATGGGCTAAGGTCCGGTGCAGGACCCCATGTGCCCACATGAGGAAGGAACCCTGTGGGGAGCTCATTTAATTCCTCGAGGACACAATGGGGCCACTTGGAAGAACTAACGGACACAGGGTATTTGAGGCAGAGGGACTGGTTCCCAAGCAAGCTCCATTTATCTCCATGGGTCTGGTTTATATTGTCTGTAATTCTCTAAGTTGCCATGGGATTTAGAACAAAAGGGCATAGAGGAATGGTGATAGACAGACAGACAGACATCAATGGGTAGGTGCGTATGTGGGTATAAAAAATATTTATAGTTTTAGGGGACAGTGAAACACTGAACTGTGGTCACACAAAATTCAACAGAGTTGGGGTTAGAACCAGGCATAAGTGACATAAGTATTCTGTCTATACTCTAGGAAGGTGAGGCAAGAGGATCACAGGTTTGAGCCTAGCCAGGGTAACATAAGCAACTTAGTGAAATCCTGTCTCAAAATTTAAAAGACTGGGGATATAACTCAATGAAAAGGCTCTGGATTCAGGGTTTCAATCCCCAGTACCAAAAAAGAAGTTGGGCTTAGAATTCAGAAGTCATTACACTCCTCCAAGCTTGAATTTGTGGTATAACCCATAGGACGCTATCATAACAGGTGGTTATTTCTTTCCACAAATGCCAGCTTTATGTCATGGGCTAGGAGCTGGGAACTAAGACATGGTCCTTTACCTGCCCCCTGCCCAGGAAGGCTTCGATAAGAAACAGACACCTTGGACATGAACCTGGTCCAAGGTGGGAAGCTCCATGCTCCTGTAACTATAGCCCAAGGTCTGGAACCAAGGTGACAAACTTGACTTGGTCTGCTAAGGGCTCTCTGAATTCCAACAGTGACAGTCTCTGTTCCAGGGACCCAAAACAGTTGGTCACCCTGTCTGGATGGAAGTATCCAGTTGGCTTAGGGTGGAGTTGGAAGCATAAGGGGGGTTTCAGGCAGAGAAGACATGATTGTCCCTTAACAGTTTATATGTAACATCACTGCCTAAGCCTTATATCCCCCTTGCTTACAAACCCAAGCAGTACAAGGTCTGGGTCAAACAGACATCCAAGGTAGCAAGGTTTGTGCTCTATATGCCCCAATTCACCTTGCAGGAGGTTTACAGCAAAGAGGGGTTCCCATCTATCTTTCCCTACTCTTTTTCTTGCAGCAGTGCTGTAGCACTGAGCTGCCTCCCCAGACCCCTTTCAAATTATGAGACTCTTGCTAAGACCCCCCCGCCCCAGCCTGGCCTTAAATTTGAAATCCTCCTTTCTCAGCCTCCCAAGAAACTAGTCTCAGAGGCCTGGGCCATGGCACCGAGTTTGAACCTTTTTTTCTTAATTGTCCAGTGCCCTCTATCTGCCCAGCTCTGCCAGCCCTGCAGCTACACCCAAGGGCTCAGCCTACCCAGCTGCTTAGCCACATCCATGGGCGAAGCCCTGAGAGCGAGCACATCCTGGCTTGTATCTTAATAGAGCACCAGCATGAGTGTTTGCTACAGAGATGAACTGCTAAGGGTGAAATCACACACGGAATGGGCAGAGATAAAAGGTTCCCGGTCTCTTGGGTGATAATTCTGGCCTTTCAAACTGTTAAACTTGGAGACATGCATTCCTCACAAAGGTGAGGATAACCACCGCTTTCTGAAAAAGCTGTGCTAACTTGGCAAATTCCTGGGGCGCAAGGGCTTTCCATTTATCTCCACAGTACCTGTGTCATGAGCTGCAGAGGCCCCAGCATGCCCAGGCTTTTTTTTTTTTTTTTTTTTTGCAACCACAGCAGTCATGGCACAATTCAGCAGGAGGTGGGGCAAGGAACCGGAGGCCTCTTCCAGGGGTGTGGCTGCAGGACTTGCCCACACCCGTCAGGAGCAGAGGGTGGGCGGCCCAAACCCTGTCACCAATGCAGCCCAGCAAGTACATCCTGATGTTAGAGTCCAATTTGTGCTGCCATAACAGAAAAGCCACAGTCTGGGTGATTTATAAATAAGATACATTTATCTGGCTCAGGGTTCTAAACACTGCAAAGTCAGAGAGCATGGCGTCAGCATGGAAGACAGAAAGGCAAACAAGTGTGCATGATAGAGACAGAAGGGCCCGAGTCATTCTGTTCACCAGGAACCCACCCCACAATAACCCACTCCCTTCAGTAACACTGATCTACTCAGGGCAACACCCTCTGATCTAATCCCCTCCAGCAATTAAGAGGGTCACCTTTTCATCCTGTCCCCATAGCTATGAGTTGTAGAGGGAGCATTCAACCAGAGCACCCAAGCTGCAGGGGCCTACTTCTCAGGGCCAAAAGAGTATCTGCAAGGGACAGTTTGGACCAGCCCAGGGAGCTCTTTCCAGACATTCCCACCTCTCCCAGGCCACAGTGTAATGTCACAACTCTACCTTTCCCGTATGGCCACAAATCTAGCTAAGAACTGATTCCTGCTTGTCTAGCTCTCTTTCTGAGGCCTGTGACAATACAGAAGAGAAAATGTACATTTATGTCTCTGCCACTTGCAAAAGCTCCATCTGCAGGCAATGAAGATTCTTTAATTTGTCCAAGGATGTGAAAGAGATATTTGGTTCTGGAACATTGCACTAAGCAAAAAGTGGTCTGAGAGTGTCTTGGTAAAGGTGTAATTATGTAAGTCTAGGTTTCATGTCGACATCACCTGTATTGTTATTTCTAGGTGCTTCTGTTTGTTCTACACACACACACACACACACACACACACACACATACACCATCATTCTAGATGGATTTAAATTTGAAGACAGGATTTATCTCTCCTGGATCACCTCTGACAATACCCAGTATGGCTCCTGCTCAGAGCTGGAAGGAAGTAAACTTGGGGAGCTCTTGAAAATGTATATCCGTGGGGCTGGACAGAGAGCTCAGTGGCCTAAGCACATGCCTGGCAAGTGCAAAGACTCAGGTTCGGGGGAACAACCCACTCAGGCCTCTCTCCTGTTCCTCTCTTGGACAAGAGCTTTCTTTCCCCCAATAAATATATTCTGCTCATAACCTCCGTTTGTTCCTAAAATTCATTCTTCGGTTTTAGAGAACATGAACTCATGCAGGTCAGGTCGGGAGATCATTTTTCCCTATGTCATTTGGAGGTTCCCTATCTCATTTGGAGGTCACCACCCAAGATCAGTTTTTCTCCCTGTATCATTTTGGAGGTTTCCACCGAGATCATTGGACAGAGGTATGAGTTTGCTTTTCTTTCATAAATTTTGAATTGAGTTGCTTAGGTAACAAATTTTATGCTTCAGATGTTAATATCTTTGCCCATTGCTCATAATTAATTGTTCATACTTTATCTTATACAGTTTTGTCTCATAGTACTGTTAAAATTGTTTATAATTGCTTATGCTTTGTCTTTATGTAGTTTCGTTAAAATGGTGGTCAAAATATTGTTGGTAAATCTAAGTTAAAATGTGGAAATGTTTCAAGTTTATGATATTTCTTTAATGGGACATTTTATGACTATTTTGTACTTGTATATATTGTATTTGAACTAGATGCTAAATGTACTGGTATTCCTTGCTTGAATTTAGACAGTAGTGCTAGAGAGTAAAGTTATAAAGTCTCCTAGTGGATGTTATATCAACTTCTGTAAAATGGAACTTTTAGCCAGCTCAGACTTAGGAAATATACATGCCCATATATGAAACATGGGACTCCTTTGGCCAGTTAAATGACATTAGGTCAGCAACCATTCTTAAAGACTTGGAGGACAGGTTTCACTGGGATAGACTGGTTCTGATCCCCCTCTACATGCAGGAGGAAATGTCAGGCCTGCTCTGTTTCAATTTCCTTTCTTTGACCTTACTCCTAATTTTCCCACCTCTTTGTACTTTCCTTTTAAGAGGCTTGTAAAATTAGGGAAACTATAGACTGTTCCAACTAAGTAAAGCCCTTAGAAAATGAGCATTTGTTAATGCCAAAGACAGGGAAGTCATTTTAGAAAAAGAACACATACCCCGTCTCTGGGTCAGATGAGACAAAGAGGAACTATGCCCATCCAGGAGAACACATATCCGGCTTAGTGTTCTGGGCAGTGGTTATCAGGGGAAGTTTGCATCTGTGCCTTATGTGTTAACTAAGAGTAAGATTTTTGCCAGCTGTATTGTCTTTACCAAAATGTAAAATGTGATTGCTAGATGATAAATATGAGTTTCACCTGTGAGCTTCAAGGTTAAATCTTATCTAGCTGCAAAAAATGTTTATCTAGGTGATCAGATGAAAATCAAGTGTCTGGAGACTTGGCTTAGTGCACAAGGCCAAATCTCTCCAGTCAATTGTTCTATCTATCTCTAGAAGTGATCTTTGTAGCCTGAGAAGTGCTCAGTTCCAATTGAGCTTTTATGCCATAGTTATGCTTCCTTCTGTAGATATTCCTGTCACTGGACCAATTGTAACTGTTAACTTACAAGTAGTCAATAAGAGTACGTAAAGGGTTTGTGAGATGTTTCACGAGATAGGAATCAAGCACCAGTTTGAGGGTGGATAGGCTGGTGGGATCTTGCCTCCCTTCTCTCCAACAAGAGCATCCACCTGCTCTGGAGAGGGCTACTCAGGGACGCCTGGGTGGAGGAATCAATTAGAAAAAAGGTGGGGACGCCCAAAAAGGTAATTTCTATTGAGTTCCAGGTTATTTCACAAAGTCTCTTACTCCTTTAGAGTGCTTCATTAGGCACTAGAAGACGTTTGATCCTTACATGCTGAAAAAGAACTGTTTAATCCAAATGGAATACAGAGAAAAGTATCAATTATGATGCTGTTTTATAACTAGAAAGATGATGTAAAAAGGAAAATGATAAAAATGTCTTATGTTCAGATTTTGTTTGCATTAAGGAGGTTATTGTTATTTAAGTTTTGAAATGTAGATGTGAGTAACAGGAGAACCAGGCAGTTCAGCCTCACCCACTATTGCTGAAAGTAAGGTTT